CCAGAGGAGCACTTGGAGGACTAAGGGGAGGGGGATTCAGCATGTCATTACTCATGTGCTCCTGGGTGGCAGCAGGCTGGGCAAAGCAGAGGCCGCGCTGTGCCTAGGAGCAGGGGGACGGGGGAACACAGGACAACTGCATGCCCTCTGCCCAGGTGTGCCCCTTCAGATGTCTATGAGCACAGGCCTCTACTTTCCACCAAGCTCTCTCTACTGTTATCCACCTAAAGACTGGGCACAGTCTGCCCTCTGCATCTCCTTGCTCATCACATCCTTTGGAGCCTTCCCGTCTCACTGCAGGAACAAGAGGACTTCTTGGCCCTGACTAGTGTGTACCAACAGGCCTTCTCAGAGCCCTAAGAAAGTCTTCCCTGTAGTTTGTTCCCCCAACTGGTTTCTGTTTCTGCCATCCCCAAGTCCAAGTTCCCGTGTCCAGCAATGTACCTGTGTTTACAATACATGTGTCCAGGGACTAATCAATAGTCCCCATGACAATTTTTAAAAGTGGGTGGATTCCCAGATGCTTTGAGACTGTGAGTGAAGACTGTGGACCTCTCAGAGCACAGGCAGGGGCAGCCTGCAGACAACTCTCTTAGGGACTGGAAGTTTGAGGAACATTGGCACAAGCCTTCTGACCAAGTCATATTTCCTGCCTGCCCCTGGTCTCCCCCCTGCCCCTCTGTCCACATTTCTCCTTTCTATGTAGCTTGAATAACGCCCTGTGTCCTCCCACTTTGCCTGGTTTGGTAAGTGCATCATTGTGTTACGTAGAGCTAGCCATGAGCAGTGGGGTGCATGGCAAAGTTATGGGTTTGCTTTGTGTTACTCTTAACGTTTTCTAAAGTGTAAGTACTTTCAAGGCAGATGAGTAAGTAATTTGGTAATTTTAAAGGACTTCGAAACCTGAATATAATGGGCGGTCAGGTCTGATGCATGGGAAGCAGCAGGTGTCTGTTTAGCTGTATGTGATTTCCACCTGTGCTGTGGGCCTCCCCCCAATGTGGCATCTCAGTTTATGGTCTTAGGAAACAGCTTTGCCCTGTTGAAATCAAAGATAAGTTCCACATGTCTCACTGACTAAATCACAGTGAGGGGAAATGACTTCTCAGCAGGTCTACCTTTATGTCACTTGCTTTCAGAGGAACAGGTTTAATCAGGCACAATTGTTTTTATTTACTCCAAGGGGAGAATCATAAATACCCTACAAATACCAGAGAGGAATTAAAAGAATTTGCACATGGGAGGAGTACCTTGCACTCTATTTCTATCATGGAAAATGAAAGCTATATTGTTGTACCTGGGCCTCAGCCATTTCCCCAAATCATTCCAGGATTTGTAATACAGTTTTAAGCATTTTCTGGAGGGGGATTTCCCCAGGAATGAAGAGCACTAGGTGGACAAGAATCTGACAGGATGGCTGCTCCTTTGGCAGAAGGGATGTTCCCTGGAACCTTGTGGGGTAAGTCTAAGATGGCTATGGTGAGGCTTCTTCATGGAGCTGTTCAGTGAGTGTGGTTTTAGTGTGTAGTCAAGGTTGTATGCACCCTGATGTGCAAGGTATTCCTCATGTATGCAAATCCTTTTCATATGCACCTGCTTGCAAGCCTGCACTTGTGGGACCTGTTGACACTGTGCCTGTGGGAAGATGGGGGCGGAGGTGTTGCCGTCTGCTCTGAATAAAGCATGACAACTATCCCACTCTGAATAAAGCATGACAACTATCCCACTAGGCCTTGCATCTTCTTTCAAATGCTGGAAGCCCAAGCCTTTTCTCCAGGGCCTGAACCTCAGCCAGACAAACCTCCAGGTCTGGGGAAGTTGCATGAGTTGTGTTGTCCTGTGGAGGTGTTTGGGCTTTGGAGTCAGGGAAGTTCATCTTGATACCAGCCCATCTGCCTAGTAGATGTGGAGCTTTGGATAATTCCTTGACTCAGAAGACTCTTCAAAGAGGCATATGACCCTGAATGCAAAATCATGAGCTATTATTCATCCCTCCCAGCATCCAACCTTGACAATGTGCTTTTATAGCTGCTTTCTCCCAGAGGCAGGATCTTTTTTTCAAACCTTGGATCTGGGCTGGCCTTATTTACCGGGGTCAATAAAATTCCATGAATGTAACAGGACACCAGCTTTGGGTCTAGGCTCAAAAGACTCTGAATGCATCTTCCTTTCCCTCAGAACCCTGCCAGCTCCATGAGAACAAAGTCCATGTTAGCCTGCTGGAGATGGAGACATCTTGGGGAGAAGAACCAAGGAGCCCAGGCAATAGCCAGCTCCCTTCAGAAGCAGTGCTGCCTGGACAGACAGCAGAATATATGCCTGAAGGATCTAGATGAGGCTAGAATAATGTCCCACCTGAGCCTGGCTTAAATACTAACCAGCTCAAAAATGAGCATGTGTGTGTGTGTGTGTGTGTGTGTGTGTTTAGTGGTAGCTAATACATATAACCACCGAAGATCAGATGCCAGGATTCAGCATTGTGTTAATTACAAGTAACCTAGAAAACATCCTCTATGTACTGATGGCCTTTTCCACTTATTTAAGGTTGGTTTTCTTGTTAGCTTATTGTGAGTTATACAGAAATGCATGTAGACATGTGTATGTACCATTGAGGCTGAAACTCAGTGTCCACAGCTTGGGAGGAAACAGACAATCACACCCTGAGGATTAGGGCCAAGTCCAAGTTGCAAAATTAGTATTATTTAGTAGTCCTCCATATCTAAACTGTGAGGTCAAGGCACTGGCAGGTCTGAAGACATAAGGTTCCATCATTCTGGGACCCCATTTCTATGCTGTTCCATCTTTGGGAGGGATGGAGTTGGCAGGGCTCTGAGGGGAAGATGCATTTAGGGTCTTTTGAGTCTAGACCCAAAGCTGGTTCATGGCATTTTACTGAGCCTGGTAAATAAGGCCAGCCCAGATGGACTACCAGACATCAGCTGGGAAGCAGAGGTGAGGACAGAGACCTCAGGCTTTGAGTTCCCTGCCGTCTCCTGGGGTATGGACTCTCTGTATCTTGGGCCTCATAGGAGAGGCTGGCATGGAGGGGATGATCCTCACTTGTGGCAGATGGTGGGACATGGTTTAGACCCTTTTATCCACACATACCAGGGGAATCAAAAGCAAAAATGGATCATAGGGAGGTGGAGCTTCAGAGCACATGGGTTGTAACTGGATTTGATCTGAGAGCCACTAGAAGACTAAAAGAGAGTAAATTTTGAAAAAGTTGTATCAAAATTAGTAGTATCCTATATTTCTAGGTGAAATATAGGGATATCGTTCATTATATGGATCACATATAAAAGCAATGATACTTTTACACATTGCATCAATTTTGCTTGGGTTTTGTTGCTTTGTTGTTGTTTTGTGCTGCTGATTAAACCCTGGGTGTTATGCTTGCTAGGAGAATACTCTACGCTATACTCCTGACGGTTCACATGTTCTTTACAGTATTGTTAAATGTGGCTTTTGGGAAATTTAGAATTACATATGTGATACCCATTTCCGTTGAATGCTGTTAGGACAAAGCACGGTCTGAGACGGCCTTGCCTTTGGGGCCTAGTCAGTAGACAATTACAACAGGGTAAAGCAGCACCTGTGAAAACAAAGCAGGGCATCTAGACCCCAGTGAGTGCAGGAGCTGCTGCAAGTGCCTGCTAGGACAGCAGAGTCTGCAGGACATCCTGGTCCTCACACACCTGTGTATTGGTGAGTAGTCCATCACGAGCAGAGGAATGCAACCCAATAATGTAGCAGGGTCCTGTGGCTTCTAATAAATAACCCAGTAACTGTAGGAAAACAGCAGGTGGGCCAGCCCTGGGAATAAACATGTGGAAACAAAGGGGGCCCATTAAGAGACTCCTGGAGATCCATGGGGCTAACTTCTGACAGGGTCAGCTGGATCAGTGTACAGGTAGGACTTATGGCCAGAGGTGCCTCAATATACATCCAAGGGACATTTCTTCAGTCAAGGAGGCACACTAAGGTGCAGTTTGCCTGGTCTTTGACCCCAGCACCTACATTAACATAGGACTGATTTGCAGATGAAGTTCCCAGATTGGGATGGGCACCATGACAGCTCCAGGAGGAACCAACTAGGGCGTGGACGTCATGGAGGTGGAGGAAGGAGGGGAAGGACGTCATGCAGGTGAAAGGACCACCTAGGGCGTGGACGTCATGGAGGTGAACGACGTCATGGAGGTGAAGAAGGGTTACACATCTTAGTGGCCTAAGACCGCAGAGGATGGCCCGCATTTCTCCTGGAAAGCATCGTAGGGTAAGAAATGTGGAAGTGGCGTCACGTTTCCCGGTCCGTTCTCTCCTCCTCGCCGAGCCTTACTTGATTCCACTTGTAACAAAAGTCTTTTGCTTGGCGGCCTCGTGTCTGACAGTCACATCTTCTTCCCCTGGACACAGCGCGGGCTATGGAGCCCCAGCTCTCCTCTCTGCTTGGACACGCGAACCCTCACCAAGCCTGACAGCTGCCAGAGTCCCCTGTCGCGGACTCGGGGCCAGCCGGCCTGGGAGTCTGGCCCCTCTCCTGGGAGCGGGGGGGGGGGGGGAGTGAGCGCGAGACGTCTTGCTGCCCCCTGCTCGAGACCTGAGCGCTCTGCGCGCGATCACCCTCCAGGCCCGACAGACTCCGCCTTCGTTTTCGCAGCTCAGGGTCTCCTCAGCAGAGCAGCAGACAGGAAAGGCATGAATCGTGACATTTTAGACACACGTGTAGGCACACTGTGTGCTTCGGCATGGTATCAACGTTGTATCTACTTCGAAGTCACCTTCGTGACCAGGTAAAAAGCGAAGTCCTGACCGGGTCTCTTCCCAGCACAGCGAGAAGCGCCCCCTGGTCTGGGCTGGGCCAAGAACCTGTCACTCTGGCCCACGTCAGCCAACGATTGGGTCACAGTAGCTGTCACTCAAGGCTGGGGCGGTGCCCGGAGGCGGTCCTTGGGGGCCCTGGGGTAGAATTGTCCAATCAGGAGCGCAGGCGGGGCGGAAGGCGGGCCCGTCCTCTCCCACTCCGCTCCTCCCTCTCCCGGACTCGCCTGGGCTGCCCGGCGCCGGAGGACTACTCAACCTGAGTGCCCTGCGAGCCCCTTGAGGGACTCCCCTAGGGGAGGAAAACCGGTCACCCTGGAGGCTAAAGTGGTGAGCGTGCTGCTGGCGGGGCCCGGTCAGCGCCTGCCATGGGGACCTGGCGCGTGCGGTGAGCTGCGGGGCGTGCGGCCGACTCCCGGCTGGCGGGTGGCCCTGGGCCCGCTGGGCGAGTCCCCTCCCTGCTGGAGACTCCAGGGGCTTCTCAGGGAAATCCCCGCAGCTCCCCGCCCCAGAGGGCGCTGAGCGCGAGAGGGCATCAGGTGGAGGCTGGAATCTGCCGCCGCCGCAGGGGTCAGCAGTGTCCTGGGCCCTCTTTGCTCCCCAGGAGTCACCTGTGCATCCTCCAAACACATATCATTTCACATGTACAGGAAGCAGGATCACAAACCCACTTTCCCGTCCCCCATCCTCTCTTCTCCTAGGGCTATCTTTAAAAATCCAGTTTCTCCCTGCATTTCAAGATTCCAATTTCCCTTTTAGTTGACAGCATTGTGAACTGTTTGTTCCCCACGGTGCATCCAAGGGGACACAGTATTGTAATTGTCATGTTTTTTTTTTTTTTTCACTGATTGATGACAATTTTCAAAAGATTTATTTTCTGTTGGTGAATGTTTTCCATGAGAAGAAAGCAGAGAACAATAACCTGGAATTGCACTATAAAAAGTCTTGTGCCCTTTTCCTTTATGCTCCCTAGGCACCTGATGTCATCGTCTTTGAGACTTGAGGATGTGTTGGATGTCTCCTGAATTCAAAAAATGAAATCCACAGGCACAAAGGGTGAGAGCCAAGTAAAGGGATTTATTAGATATGAGACCGTGGAGCTCCCACTGGGGGAGGGGTCCTAGGAGAGCTGCTGCAGCCTAGGAGTTTATGTAAGATCAGAGGGGAGTTGAGTGGCCTCAAAGACCCCAGGTTGGAGATTTTAAAGGAGAGGGTCTTTGAGTCCAGTCACCCCAGGGCACTAGCTCTAGAGATGTCAAGAAGTCACACTAGTATACCTGCCTTGAGGCCAGGCTCAGTGGGCACGAGCTTCACTCTTTAGTCTCTCCTAATATGAAAGCTTTTCTCCAACCTGGTAGGGAACACATCTAACAGCTGGGGAAGCCAGTGCTGGCTGGGACATGAGGATGCTTCAGTGACATTAGGGACACACACCACAGCACACACCTCCCAAAACCACATCACACACCTCCCAAAACCACATCACAGCGCACACCACAGCACTGACCTCCCAGGACCACACCATAGTAAGAAATGCCACAAGACCTTCAGTTGTTCTAGATCCTTTCAGACACATGACAGAAGTCATTAGTGAGAGAAAGATGAGAAGTGCATGGAAAGTGGGAATGCCTTCATTTCCCTGCGACATTCAGAGGTTCAGGATGATGCACCCAGAAGATGTGTGTATTAGCTTGACCTTAAGGTGTGAAAACACATTGATTTTCTGGGTTAAATCTCTCATCTTGTAGTGTAAGTCTCTATTCATAGTTTGTTTTCTATTGTTTTATTGAGAATTTTTGTATCTTGGCAAAGAGATTTATGTACACTGATATGTAGTATAGCATTATGTATACGTGGAGTATATATATGTGCATATACCTGTGTGTGTGTATGCTATATAGGTTACAGTACAGTTTTGTAAGTAAATAGTGTGTATTACATAAAACTATTTTATATGATAGTGTAATTAAGCACTATGTAATTAGTATAGTACATAGTATTTTACAGCACATATTATAGTATTAAATTCTTATTGATCTGTAGTATAAGGTGTTTCCATTTCCTTCTAACCAGCCCTGTTTGAAACCACATATTTTGAGGGAACCAAGAGCACCTCACTTTGATGTTTCTGCAAAGCTTTGCCCCTTGCCCACTGTTCTCTCTGCATCCAATGACAATCCCTCTGTGGGCCCGGATGGCTTCCTGTCCCCTCCTCTGCTTAACTCTGTGTGTATATAATACAGTTTCATTTTTCTTATGTGTCCAGTGGGGGTGTTACGTGTTTGTCCAAGTCACCCTGGGTGCTAATTCATTTATAGCTAGTGGTGTGAATGGGAGGCTGTTAGAAACCTTTGCAGCATAAACAGAATGGAGCGAACATGAATGAAAATAGCTGCTCAGCTTTTACTAATTGCTCTTGGTGACTGGTTCCATGGTACAGAGAAACCCACCTGCGTAGCACCTGCACTTTTTGATGGGTTTGGCTTTGGTCGGCCCACAGTTACTGATTTGTACCTGGTGTTGCCATTTCTCCCCTCACATGAGTACTCACATCCCCTACACATAATGGTTCACTGGCTTTACCCACTGAATGCCTTCCTCCCCCAAGGCAGTGAAAAGAACAGCTACCCAACAAGTGCTTTAGTCCTGATTAACAAGAGACAGGCTAAAGCTCTGTGGACCCTGCATTTAATTTGGGAACCATTACTAATTGCTTGGGATACTTCTGGGAGAGGCCCAGGGATGGTCCTTTGTGAAGTTTGAGAAAGAAGGGGATACTCACCTTGAGAAGAACTAAGTATATCACCTAGTTTCTTGCAGTTATCATGGAGCAGGCAAGAGTAGGGGCCTTGCTGGTCTCTCGTGTGCTGATCCCCTTACAGCAGTAGTGTGCACCCTTCTGTTGAGGGGCACATCCATGATGCCTGATGGTCTAAGTGCTGATAGGTAATGCATGAGGCATTAGCCCCTCGTGAAATCTGGGAGGAGTATCTCAACCATTCATGCAGCAGAAAACCCCTCACCAGTGTGTGAGTTTTCCTTAGCACTAATGCTTGTCAGCATGCCAAAGTCTCATGGAAGAAGGCTTGCTGGCCTTAGAAAAATGACTTACGGCAAGTGGGTATTAACCTACACAAAAATAAGTCTCATTAATTGAAGGCTGAAGTGGTGTCTTCCAGTGTGGGTTGCTGGGCTTCTGGATTCTTCCCCTTAGCCACACACATGAGCACTAGCAGTGATCAGATAGAGACAGTACTGGGGAAGCCTGCAAGTTTGCATCAGTGGAAACCCAAAATGTCATAAATCCCTGTGGGTTGGGAAGGGAAAAGTGTCATGTGCAGTGATCAGATCTAGGAACCCAGCACCTGATGGCTTGGCTCTCCAAGACCCAGGAGTTGTACTGCCATGGCCACTACTGCCTGTGCCTCTGTCTCAACAAGTGTCCTGGTACCTCTGTGTAGGTGGCTCTCCAGACATCTTGGACCAATGCGGTTCTTCCTTATAGTTCTCAAGAGAAAACAAAGAGGGGATGGGTATATAACTCCACAATGGATCCCTTTCTTCACATGGGAGAGGCCTTATGTTCAATCCCCAGTACTGCAAAACAGTAAAACAACAATAAAAGAGCAAGTGTAGCTGAGCACGGTGGTGCATGTCTGTAATCCCAGTGGCTTGTGAGGCTGAGGCAAGAAGATCGTGGGTTCAAAGCCAGCCTCCACAACTCATTGAGGACCTATGCAACTCAATAAGACCCTGTCTCAAAATAAAAAATAAAAAGGGCTAGGGATATGGCTTGGTTGTTAAGTGCCCCTGGGTTCAATCCCTGGTACTAAAGAGCTCCAGCAACTGGACGTGATGGATTATTCAGGGTCAGTGTGGCCAAAGTTTCTTAGGACTGGGAGAATGTGGGCTCCATGGCTTGGGAGTGCTGGCCCAGGGGTGTAATAGGCTCCACTTTGTGTCTGAGTGTCAACCTTGCTGCTTGCTCATGGGAACATTGCCCCTTCCTGTTTTTCTCTCCCACTTCATGGCTGTAGGGAGAGCAGGTGAGCCTCCACTGTCCTGAGCTGAACTGCCTGCCCTTTTCCTTACTGCCTACCCTACTGCCCAGCTGCAGACCTGGAAATGGGCAACTGCTCTCTTGAGGATGAGGACCATCCCTGAGTACATCCTCTGACAGTTCCTGGAAAACAGCAGCTAGGGGGCAGCCTCAGGTAGCGTCAGCCTGAGGCCTCCCTCCTTCACCAGCAAGGCAAGAGAACTTGTCCTCCGCAAGGATCAGCACTGGGATGAGGACCGAGCTTTCAGTGTTAAGTTCACAACTCCATCCATTTCATGAGCTTTAATCCACCAGTGACTTTGATTTGACTTGGTGTGATTGTGGCCATCACAGGTTCTTCTACTCTATTTGAATGTCAGTTGTTACCATGTCTGATACTCTGGTCACACTGTACACATACACGTCCACACACCACGCTCTACAGGAAGGCTAAGAAAGGGTTGCAGTGGCCAGGTTCCAAGAGGCCTTATGAAGAGCAGAGAGCAGATGCAAATACAGGATGACCTATCAGGTGGTCAGAGAACGGCTTATCAACCCAGGAGCTGCCAAGGGGCAGCTGCCAAGCAGGTGGCTTTACTGGACAGCTTCAGGGTCAGCTGCGAGTGTCTGCTTACAGTGGGCCATGCCTCAGAGGAGGAGCCAGGACAGGGGAGGGCTATGTGGAAATCCCCTCTGTTGGTTTGTCACTTTTCTGGTATTTATTTTGGCTGGGCACAAAATAACCGAGCTGCCACGAGGCACTTGTAGGTTTAAAACAGGAACTCCTTTTTTCTCCAAACTCCCACCAACCGGAAATCCCTCCTCTGGCACTTCCCCAACCAACGTGAACCCTCCAGGAATCCCCGCAAGAACTCCAAAGCAGCGGGCGCCCCATTGCCCGACAGTAAAGGTCAAATATACAATACAATCAATCCAGCATCACAGCAATTATATATAGCTTAACTCAAATCATCATCTTAATGGTTCGCTGGCGGTCACCTTTCAAACATTCCCTCTGGCAAATGCCAGGCGTCATTCTAACTGGGCAGTGGCTCTCAACAAAATTAGTTTAAGATAAAGTTGATGAAACTTAGGACAAGGTTTGTGTCTGCCGTTGGCAGGTGTGGTGACTGGAGGGGACTCATGGGTTCTGAAAAGTGCCTTTGTTCCTGGATGGACCATCGGGTGCATCTGGTAGTCAGTAAGCATGAACCTTGTTCCTGCACATCCCATGCTTATTGCATTCCATAATAAAAAAGAGACTGAAAACTATTAATAAGGAGACTCTCTTTCTCAGGAGTCCTGTGTTGCTTGTAATTAATTGCTAAATTAAAATACAAAATAGCCTCCACTGTGAGAAGCACGCTCACCTGCAAGCCCAGAGGGTGGGCTAAGAGACACAGGAGCAGCAAGAAGCGAAGTTTCGCTTTAATGATGGTCTTGCAAGATGGGGGATCTGCGGATCCTGACCATGGAGCCCAGGCAGTCGGTGCCCCTCACAGCAGCTTGTGGAGGAGATGGCCAGGTGAGGGCCAAGGACATGCCACCAGGGGGAGGCGCCTGGACTTGTCCCTTTTAACACCTTCCCAGGAGTCCAGGAGCACTAGAGCTGTAGGGCCATTGTCCTGTGAGTCAGTCTGTTGTCCAAGAGGCTGTCCTCCCGCAGAGCAGGGCTCCTGCAAAGTCCCCAGAGGGAAGAGGTACTCCCACTCCCAGGGACCCAACCCTCAGGTGCCCCACACCTGTGCTCAGTCACATGCCCAGCAGGGTGTGGGCCACAGACTCCAGGAGCCACTGTCACTGCCCAGGGTGCAGCCCGGTGGACAGACGCAGCCTGGGGCAGAAGTCCTCAGAGAGCAGGCTCCTGCAAGCCTACCATGGGGCTCTCTGCAGAAGGGAATGTGTTATGTCCATAAACCATATCACAGCCACAGAAATCAGGTGACAGGAGCAGTTTGTGCGGCTGTGCTGGGGGCTGGGGCTCCCCCAAGGGAGGGCAGCACGGATGTCCTTCTCTGGTCCTCAGATATGGTTTTTCTTTTTTACATAGGAGATATCTCTTCATCTCTTCGTGTTAATTTTTTATTAGTGCATTATAGTCTTACATGATAGTGGGGTTTGTTTTGACATTAGTATATGTCTGTGAAATAGGATCTGCTCATGTCAGTCCCTAGTACTTCTTATTTCCCTCCATTCCCTTCTCTCCCTGCTTCCCTTCCTCTCTTCTCCTGGTCATCCTTCTATTTATTTATTTATTTATTTATTTATTTATTTTTATACTGGTACTTTGCAGATCTATACAAATGTGGAATTCACAGTTCTCATATATGAACACAGCATTACTTTTCATCCCACCATTCCTCCTTTTCCCTCCCTCCCTTCCCACCAACCCCCTTCCACTGTTCCAATGATCTCTCCTCTGTTTCATGGGGTTCCCCTGCCCCCCTTTCCCTTTAACTTGGTCTAGCTTCTGCACATGGGAGAAAACATTTGACCCTTGACTTTCTGGGTCTGACTTATTTCACTTAGTGTGATGTTCTCCAATTCCATCCATTTACCAGAAGATGCTGTAATTTTATTCTTTAAGGCTGAATAAAACCCCATTGTGTCATAGGCCACATTTTCTTTATCCAGTCAACTGTTGACAGGCGCCTGGGCTGTGGACATCAGTCTTCTTTCAGTTAAAGGGTGAAACTATATCATCAATCAAAAGTATTCTATGGCTCTGAAGATTGTGGATTATTTGTTTCTGAATGAGGAAAACCAGGTCACTGATAGCATATTGGGATGCAGGTGCTTTGGACAGTTTGTAAAGAAAGACAAAGATGTAAAGAAATACACCAAGAGGTAAAGGATAAATCGGAAGCTGTAGTGTCCCCAAGCCAGAAAGAACAAATGGAGCTGACCCTGGGTCAGCAATGGAGATGCCTTGCCCTCCCAGGTCCAGGCTGTTCTGAGCCCAGGCCCTCTGCACCAGCACCCAGATGCTCAGGCCCTCTGCTCTTCTTCTGGCTCTGCACTGGCTCATCTACAGGAACACGGTTCCCACCCACCCCATCTGCAGGTGTGCTGAGGACCCCTCTCCACGACGTCCCTGAAGCCCCTCTCTGACTCAGGAGGCTCCATGGGGCACCAGTGAACACTGGCATCCGAATTTAAACTCTCAATCTCAGCAGCAATTTCACCCTGGACTAGGAACTTTGTATGGGCCACCAGGAGGAATGGGAGCCATGAGCATCCAGGAAAGCACAGCTCACAGGAGAGCGCCATCTGTGGACTCAACATTTCAGGCTGACCCGAGTGTCCATCAGCTGCACAGCTGAGGACCTGAGCCCCATTCCTGTCCTCCTCTCCCTCTCCAGGCTTCTTCTGCCCAGGATGGTGGCCCAGCAGCAGCTCCGTCCAGGCTGGTGAAGCAAACTCCTCCATCCACTCTGGTCCTATGTCCACAAGGAGCCAACTCCCTGAGGAATTCATGAGCAGCCCCACCAATGTGCTTGCTGACAGGTACTCCGTGTCCTCCTGGCCTCCTGGGGCCCTGCTGCAGGAAGAGGCCCCTCTAATGCCTAGGTAAGATGGGAAATAGTTTCTTATTTTCAAATGAACTCATGGAAATCTGACATCACTCATGAGAGATGACATGGAGGTTTCCTTGGGGGGTGGACTGCCTCTCTCATCATGTGACACTGGGCCAAGGGGCACGCCAATGGCAGCACTATCCTGTCAGCTGTGTGGGAGGGACGTGTCCTCAGCCCCCATCTTCCTCCTGGATCAAGAGGCTTGTAATTTCCCACTAAGGCACATGAAAGGGCGACTCCAAGAATATCCCACTCTTTCCTTGGGTGGACTGCACCTACCTTGGGGCCTTTCACTGGACGTCAGCTCCCAGCTGTGTTTATAAAGCAACAAGAGAGAAAAGACCTTGGACCACAGTACACAGTGTCACCTGGCAGGTGCAGGGGGAGCTCAGCAAGGCAGGGCAGACCCCAGGATGGAACTGGCCTTGGTGCTGCTCTGTGGTGCAGAGGGCATCAATTTGAGGGTTTCACTTGAAATATTTTGGCATTTTCAGGTCATGACTCTATGTCCTTCCTCTCCTGGATAGAGGGACCCTGGCCATGCTGGTCAGTGCAGGGGCAGGCACTGTGTCCTCATTTTTCTTCCTCATCCAGAGCTCAGCCCTGAGCAGCCCATCTTAGGCTCAGGGCATCTCTGATTATACAGCCTGTAAACATCTGCTCCAGCTCAGGTGAGGAAAGGACCCTCCTCAGCTAATCCTGGGTCCTACTCAGGGTGTGATCCAGGGTTGGGGTGGTGAGGGGGCTCCTGTACAGTGCAATGTGACCCCTTCCTTGCTCCTGCTGCCCTGCTCCTGTCAAGCACAGGGTGGCTGGGCCCAGATCTTTACATCTGTATGCAAATATGGCCCCTGCTGAGAATCCCTCTAGGACCTGGATATTGGTCTTCCTTTTTCGAATGCCCAGGCCTCCGGGAGTGTCAGGCATTTATGCCTGTGCTTGGGACCGGCCTGTTACGTGACTTTCAGCAGACCGTATCGTAGAGCAGGAGGGAGAGGCTCATCTTCCTCAGCATTTCATCTCTGAGGGCAGCGCTCCTCTGTCACGCCCTTCCACCCTAGGCTGAGATCTCTGAAACCACGAGCCAGAATGAGTCCTTCTCCTTCTAAGTTGTTCCTGTCAGGTATGTCGGTCACAGCAACAACAAGGTGACCAGCAAACCTTCCCTATTACAGACAAAAAGCAAGCAAACAGAATACACTTTCAGCTGTAGGATGCTATTCTACAACCAATTTTTCTAGTGAATATTTTAATTTTCATCCATAGATTCAAAGAGTTATTCAATTACCCATTGGACTGATTTGAATGGACCCCTCCAGTGTGATGTGTCACTCTACAGAGTATAATAGGATGTCACCAGATCTTGCCCATTGACCTGGGGAGGAAAAATAAGAGAGGTAGAAGGTAGAAGCAGCGAGTCAAGAATGTAAGGGAGGAGCTAGAATAAAGAGATGCAAAACAAAGAGAGCAGTTGAAGTTAGGGTAACGGAGTTCACTGATCGAGATTCGCCAGAATGCGCTGTCACTGTCCCAGAGGTGGCAGGTGGGCCAGGGCGGAGAAGATGTGGCCCAGGGCATCTGGTCTTTTTTTTTCCCTATAAGTTGGTCCAGATTTATTGAAATCTGTCACAGAAGACACAATTCAAATAAGAGTCACAGTCTTGGGTTGTAAGGCCTGTAAGGCTCTGTACCACTGAGCCACATCTCCACACAAGAATACAAAATGTATTAGTTCAAACTACAGCGTAAAAACAGATTCTAAAAATGAATAACGTGTCCTGATTAAATGTCTGCAAATGTTTTTTTTCCTCTGCACTTAACAACTGTTATGGCTCTTTAAAAAAATTCAAGCAAACAGTTTGGAATTTAATAAGAAAGCCCACATTTATTACAATGTGGAAGGTGTCCTCATTCAGCTCCAACCTTCACAAACTACTGGAAAATACTTTGAAAAAATAATTCACCTGTGTTTTTTTCATATCAGGGAAAATTAAACTCACATAATATCAGAAATCACCTCTTGCCTTATAAGTGCAAAATAGACGCCCCTGGCTTGACTCATAGTAAGCACAATTTGGGAGAAATAAAAGTAGCTGAGATAGACACTTTCCTTAGGAAGCCTTCCTCTGTTTTTGTGAAGCATTCTCTCAATCATGAAGCTGTATTCAAAAGAATCCATTCTATTCCCAAGATTATAATTAAAACAGGAAGAACAAATCTGATGGCCCTTACAGCAAACTTCATCATGTCAAGGCAATCCCTTAACTCCTGATATTTCCTTCCATTTCCTACTAATAGTGTCTTCCCCCACCCACTAGGATATGTGAGGTTCTCTGTATTACAAACCCTTGCTTTTATTTTTTAAATTTTTTGTTGGCTTTATGTAAAACATCTTTTGAAAAAGGTACATAACTCTTCAAACCCTGCATTCAGTTTCCTGTTATGTAAGGAATGGAAGCAGACATGTCCCTGGGACCATCTGAGGTTTATATAACTTCTGTCCAACTATTTAGGAAGGTCCCTTGATTCTTTACAGATTAGAATTCAAAATAGAAAACAAATTCAGTTGTCAAACACCTGTTGCTAATTGAAAACAAATCTATACCACATAGCAAAATTCCATTTATTAAACGTTATCTCATGCAAACTTAAATTTTAAAAAATAATCATTCCATGCTCCAAAGTAGATCATGAACCTATTTAAGACAAACATGGTAAAACAAATTTTCCCATCTTTATTTACAAAGTGTGGCATTTTTTTAATGTTTATTTTTTAGGTGCAGATAGACACAACACAATGCCTTTTTTTTTATGTGGTGCTGAGGATCGAATCCAGGTCCCACCTATGCTAAGTAAGTGCTCTACCACTGAGCCACAATCCCAGCCCCAAGTGTGGCATTTTTGACTGACAGGATAATCAACATTATAGTTCAAACCTGTTGCTAAGGAACACTTTGTGTGTTTGTGTAGGGGGGTGTTTCTGGGATTGAATCAGGGCCTTGCACACGTGAAGCAGGCATTGTACCTCTGAGCCACGTCCCCAGCCCCAGAGAACACAATTTTAGACCTAGTAACAGAAAATCATCTGGTAACTTGACACATGGCCAATCCTAAGACTAGAAGGAAAAGCATTCTTTTGTTTTTTGCCCATTAGTGATTTTTCAGAGGAAACCAGGTAAAGGCTTCCAGCGCAATAGAGAAGACATTGTTCAGACAGGGGGGATGTTCTTTGGCAGACTCACAGGCAGTGCGGGGAGTCTGGCACCAATGGGGCTCTCACCACTCACTGTTTTGTGCCGGTTCCCCATAGCTGCCTCTCCCAGCATCATCGTGTTCACAGGACTGTCTGGAGCCTGCCCTTGATCGCCCACGTCCATACGTCCACACTGCCTGCCCTCCTTCCAGCCCGCGTCCCAATCTTTGCGAAGATCCGGTCATACAGACATGTACCATTTACATACTGCATGACATTTTTTTGCATCTGCTCTTGAATAGTATTCCACAAAACAGAATCCACATACTGCTTTTTTTTTTCACTTTATACAGACCCATAATGATCTTCTTTATGTCACCACTTTTGCTGAAGAGTTCATAAATTTGTTTTTCAGTTGTGTTAAAGGAAAGATTTTCAACATATGATGTACAACTGTTCTTCAGTAATTTTTCCTGTTCTTCACTGTCACCCCGGAAGGGCTGGTCCCTGCACTGGTCAGCTCCACATGGCAGTTGCTGCTCAGTGGCTTCAGGAGGCCACCTCACAGTGCAGAGGGCAGGAATCTGATCTTCAAGTTCTTCATCCATGTATATTATTGAGCATTGACACTGTCTCAAAAACCAAGTTACAAATGGTGGACTGAGTGAGAAGGCAGGCCTGCAGTATGTGGCCAATCTTGCTTCACCACTTGAAAAGGAAGGAGTTGAACCCTACGGACTTGGTCTGGTATTTTCCTCCTGTGAAGAAGTTTTCTTCCCATTGGAGTGTATGTTTCCTTCAACTCCTGAAGTTGGGAGGTCCAAGGACCTCCTGCCTCTCTCTACTGCTCACTGTATGTGAGAGGCCATGACTATTATTTATCCCAGGCAAGTTTGGTGGCCAATTAACCAACACTAGTCCTTAAAACATTCTCTGCCTGTTTAATGTAAGGTCTTACGTTGGGGTTAGAAGTTCTCATTGATCACCTCTGTGGCCAGACAGGACTCTTCTCTGACGGTATGTCAGGATGGAAGAGCACTTTGGAGTATGGCAGAGGGCTGGTTTCTCTGTGCTGTCTGTAGAGTGACAGGTTATTACAATGCTTTGTTCTTGAGCCAAAATGGTTTTTGCATCAATTACTAATTTCCCCTCAAAACTCTCACTTTGTGGTAAGAATTTGGTTAGAATGAACTATTTAATATCATGAGAAACAGGGCTTCAGGAAGTTCACTAGTCCAACCGACACCTTTAATTGGAGCTTCACCAGGTCTATGACATGGAGCTGCCATCTCTATGATGAAAGCAGAGTTGCTCATGTCTGAAACTTCTGGTCATGATCTAAATCATTCTCTTCACATTAAGGTGGGAGAAATAGAGTTAAGAGAATAGGGCCAGGGCCGAGGAGCCCTAGAAACCAGCACATGGTGGAGTCTGAAAGTCAACTCTGACTTCTAGTCCAGCCTGGATGTTGTTGGGGGAAAACAGGGTACTTAGAGATGCTTAGCAATGAGAAACAAAGTCCTCTTCCACCCACTTGTTCTCTTTGGAAGCACAAAACAAAAATGACACCCAAGCTGCATAACCAGGTGCTTCTTCTCCTATCCAGGGTGCAGGAGCTCCTGATTTTCTAAAATACGTCAACTCCCAGCTGACTTTTCTGCATATATTTAAATAAGTGGACACTTACCGATACATCTTGTTCTCTGTAACACAAATAATTTCCTTCACAGATGATGAAATATAAAATTGTAAGTGCCAAAATATGGAAGTAGGAAAATGGAAAGATGAAGGACTTATAC